GACTCCCCCCCCCCAATTTTGAAAATAAACATCTGAAAGAGCCAGATCTGCAACCTTAGTTATCTTTTCAGCAAAATATAGGGAGGAGAATATTTAAATTAAAGGCAGATCACATGCCTTGGACAGGCAGTGCCTTCTGAGCTCCTTTTTAACTTAGAGTGGCAGAGTGCTGGGCCTGAGTGGAATGCGTGTTATCTGTATACGGTTATGTGTGTGTGTGTGTGTGTGTATGTATGTATGTATGTATGTATTATGTACCCACATGTGAACACACATGTAGAGTTAAAACAGTAAGACAGAATAGTTTATTTTTTAAGTTTGCTGAAATTGTATGTGTGTGATAGTTATGTCAAATCTTTTAAAAATATTTAAGGTTATCCTGGTTAAGTAGCAGTAATAGTAGAAACTCAACTACTAGGAGTGCTTCGTCTTGCTTAATTAAACATTTAAACAAATCTTCTTCAGATCAAGATGGAGATTGTGAAAGCCCGGTTGCAGATCACAGTGTCTGCTCATATTGATAATATTGAAACTAAAACTAACGTGCCGTGTCTTAAGTTCCTATTAAGATCCCTTAACAGACGCTCACTGCTGAGGGAGGAATGCTGAGGTATGCTAATGCGATTATATTTTTATAGTATTTTGGCCTCTGATCCTTCGTAGGGCTGAACAGTTAAATACAGTCTCAAGAAAATGAGGTGATTTCCTACAGGGTCCTCCCAGGTTTTGCCTTTGAGCAGCCCTTGTTGTCTGACTGCCTTTGGGCAGTGGCACTGAACATCTGAACACGGACGGACGGGGCGTGTTCTCACCTTTTCCTTTCTCCTTGCTGCCCGCCCGCCCGGTGTAGGGAAATGACCCATTAGCTCATGGGTGTGACTTTGGTGTTGTCTGAAGCAGCGATGAAGGATTTAAAGTTGCAGGTTTTGGCTGCCCCTGTAACCTCTATGTAGAGTTTTCTCCACTTGTTAGATTAAGAAGCGATTAGCATGTGTAAAATACAGAGGGAAAACCAAGTTTTCAGATCAGATCTCGGAGATACTTTTGAGGTTTTGAGGACACAGATGAGTCAATGGAGTGGCGGTGTTAAGTTGAATGCTTTACTAACATTTTAGTATTTATTAGCATTTTAGTAGCTTGAGGAAAAAGTGGGTTTGTAGGAATACTGCACATTACCTGTCTAAATACAAGTTTATGTGTTTTTGGCAGTTTTTGATAACTTTGAATGCCTTTTGCTGCATACTGTAGTAAGAATATTCCATATCAAGACTCTAAGATAGGGGGCTGGCACAAGGGGTTAATTCTCTGCTTGAGATGCCAGAATCCTGTAGCTGCTTGGTTTCAAGTCCTGGCTGCTCCTAGCGGATCCAGCTTCCTGCTAATGGACCTGGGAATGTAGCTGAGGGTGGCCCAAGTGCCCACGTGGTCCCTGGCCCACCCATGTGGGAGACTCAGAGTTCCTGGCTCTTGGCCCCAGCCTGGAACAGTCTTGGCTGTTGTGACCATTTGGGGAGCGCATCAGTGGATGGGAGGGTCTGTGTCTTTGTTTCTCCTGTCTTTGCCTCTCTGCCTTTCAAACAAATAAATAATAAACCTTAAAAAAAAAAAAAAGAATGTAAGATAACCTGTTGAGCTCAAACAAAGGCGTGCGGCATCTTTGCAGGCTGGCAGTGTTCACTGCTCTGTGTGAAGAGCAGGGCCCCAGGTGCTAGCCCTTGTTGGCAGGGGGGCAGCTGCTGCCACCTTGTAAAGTGTGGAGCAGTGTGCATAACGTGCCAGTGGCAGCATCTGCAGGTAGTGCTGGAATTCCCAGTGGCCTTTGTCACAAGGCAGAGCCTGAGTAGTGACCCCTGGAAAGCATCAGACAGGCCTTACAGGCAGTTCTAGCAGGATGATTCTTACTGGATTTCAGATAGCGATGCTGAATTACAGACGAAATATAAGGAATCAGTGTAAATTAAATCTAGCGTTCTTGGAATACGAAGTTACGTTGCATAATGGCTTGCCACAGTGCCTTGGAATGGTGGCTGCAGGTTAAGTGCTGTCACCAAGTGAAGATTTAAAAATGTTTCAACTGTTTAGAATCGTCTTCCGAAGCATCCCTGGACGTGCGGGGCAAGAGCGTTCAGGTTGTTGGAGTGCGGTGTGCTGCTTTCCCTGCCCGTCTCTGCACAGCCTCTGCGCGCTGCCTGGAGACCTGGGGTGCTGGCTTGTCAGTAACTCTCCTGGGGCTCCATCCTGACCAGTTCTGTTATTCCAGTCTTTATTATTACAGCCGCTTAAAGAGTTTTGCTCTGCAAATTGGTTGAAGTGGTGTAGAGCTCATTGAAGCTATTAATCACCGCTTTAGAGTTTAAGGAAGAGCATGTCTGCCTGTGCTGTAGACGTCAGGTCAGGCACTCAGATGCCCGGGCATGGACAGCGCCACTTGTCCTCGGTCATAGAAGACGGGGTGCAAGTCCGAGTGATGCAGAGTTTCCTTGGGCTGGTCAGCTGGCGGTGTGGTTACTAGGATTTTTCTCCATCAGAGGCTTAAAGCTGCAGAGGATGCTAGTTAGGTGGCAGCCACGGAAGCCCTATGGAAGCTGTTGTTGCCACTGTCGTATTTAAAGGTAGAATGGCAGAGAAGGGGAGACAGAGATCTTCATCTGCTGTGTCACTTCCCAGAGGCCTGCCACAGGTGGGGCTGGACTGACGACAGGAGCCAGGAACTCTGGTGGGTCTCACACGAGAGTGTTTGAGCTGTCCTCTGTCGCCTCCCGGGCTCCTGAGCAGGAAGCTGGATGAGAAGTGCAGAGTGGGCAGCAGGTGAACCGGGCACTACATGTGGGGAAGGCGGGGTCCCAAGCAGTGGTTTACCCCCTGTGCCACAAGTGGCAGTTCTGATGACCCTTGGAGTTAAAATCGATAGCAGATCAGTTCTGGTTGGCGTTCCACCTGCCCCAGGTTTGGGCTGTCTTTTCACCAGGTGATCCTGGAGGGCCGATCCTGTTCCGCCACTGGCACAGCGCCAACAAACTCCGCTCCTGTCTGCAGGAGCTTCCTTTCGAGAGCAGCAGGTGGGGGAGAGAGACAGAGAGATGAGTGCAGGCGGCCAGGACGACAGCAGTGTGCAGAGGCCGGCAGTCATGGCCAGGCTGTGATAGAGGAGGGAGAGTGGTGCTGCGTGGGTGCTGGGAGGTGGGGGAGGCCGCATGTGAGGTGCGTGTCCACAGCTCAGGACGCAGGGTGCAGCCCTGGAGATGAGAATGTGTCCCCGAGGCTCTCTGGAGGAGAGCGGTCTGCAGTGTTGCTGGCAGGGCCGCCTTTCCCACCTCACCATCCACGCAGACCCCCTGGGCCGGGACACCCTGTGGCCCAAGCTGCCGATCTCCCACCTGCTCATCTCCCTAGCCAGCACTGGCTCTGCCTCCCCCCCCCCTTCCTCCTTCCTCCTTCCCTCCCTCCCTTCCTTTTTTAATTAAAAGTATTTGTTTATTTGAAAGGCAGAGATACAGAGTGAGCTTCCATCTACTGGTTCATTCCTGAAAATGGCTACAACAGCTGGGGCTGGGTCAGGAGCCAGGAGCCAGGAGCTTCTTCCGGGTCTCCCACATGGGTGCAGGGGCCCAAGCACTTGGGCCATCTTCTGCTTTCCCAGGCCATTAGCACGGAGCTGGATTGGAAGTGGAGCAGCTGGGCCTGGAACCAGCATGCACGTGGGATGCCCATGTCACAGGCAGCAGCTGGCCCCTGCTCTTTTTCTAAGATGGTTTCTCATTGCTTCCTTGGCTCCCTTTCCTCAGCCAGAGAAGTAGAGAATGATGGTGACTGGCTTAACCTAGGAGTTCGAAAATTTCACAGCTGAAAATTGAAACTAAATCAATCTTAGTTAAGATACAGACTTATTACTAAATTGTGCTATTACCTGAGCCAGGAGGACTCCTGGCAGGGATACCGCAACGTCGTATTTCTAATCCAGAGGATGGATGTAGGATTGGTGTAGTTGTTCTGGAAAACAAACAAGTCTGCAGAAAAGTGGAATTTCCAAAATTTTGGAGCTTCTACAGATAAGTCAGATTTCTAAGAATAATGTTGAAGCCTGATATGGAAACTTTGATTTTGCCAAATAAGGACATAAACAAGAAAACCCTTCACTGTTTGCTGTTATCACTATGTCATTTAAAAAATTATTTGAAAGAGTTGGAGGGAGAGAGAGATCTTCCATCTCCTTGTTCACTCCCCAGATGGCCACAATGGCCAGGGCTGGGCCAGAGCTTCATCTGGTCTCCCACGAGGATGGCAGGTGCTCGGGCCATCGTCTACTGCTTTTCCCAGGTGCATTAGCAGGGAGCTGGGTCTGAAGTGGAGCAGCTGAGACACCCACGTGGGATATCAGCATTGCAGGTGGTGACTTTATATGCTACGCCACGACGCTGGGCCCATTTTAAAAAATTTTTTAAGAAATATTTATTTATTTGAAAGAGAGAAGGAGAGACAGATCTTCCATCCACTGGTTCACTCCCCAAATGGCTGCAGTGGCCGGGGCTGGGCCAGGCTGAAGCCAGGATCCAGGAACTTTGTCCAGGTCTCCCATGTGGGTGCAGGGACCCCAGCACTTGGGCCATCCTTGGCTGCTTCCCCGGGTGCATTAGCAGGGAGCTGGTTCGGAACTGGAGCAGCTGAGGCTCAAACTGGTGCCCATATGGGATGTGGGCACTGCAGGCAGTGGCTTAGCCTGTTACACCACGTGTCTAGCCTCCATCTATCTTTCTCTCTCTCTCTCTCTCTCTCTCTCTCTCTCTCTCTTTCTCTCTTTCTCTTTCTTTTTCTCTTTCTTTCTCATTCTCTCTCTCACTCTCTTTCTTCTCTTCTCTTCTCTTCTCTTCTCTTCTCTTCTCTTCTCTTCTCTTCTCTTCCTCCCCTCCCCTCCCCTCCCCTCCCCTCCCCTCCCCTCCCCTCCCCTCCCCTCCTCTCCTCTCCTCTCCTGGCAGAGTGGACAGTGAGAGAGACAGACAGAAACGTCTTCCTTTTCCGTTGGTTCACTCCCCAATGGCTGCTGCGGCCGGTGCACTGCGCTGATCCGAAGCCAGGAGCCAGGTGCTTCTCCTGGTCTCCCATGCGGGTACAGGCCCTAAGGACTTGGGCCATCCTCCACTGCCCTCCCGGGCCACAGCAGAGAGCTGGACAGGAAGAGGAGTGACTGGGACAGAATCCGGCGCCCCGACTGGGACTAGAACCCGGGGTGCCAGCGTCACAGACGGAGGATTAGCCTGTTGAGCCATGGTGCCGGCCCTCCATCTTTCTTAAAGGGTATTTTAACACTTGGAAGGACATCATAAGTGGCAGTTCTTAATCAACTTGAGATTAGTCTATGTGGCTTTGTGCAAAATTGATGGACTGGTTTCCATGTCTCATTTTGCTGTTGGCCAGTGAAATCAGAGGTGTCCATTTGATTAGTGTATGCTGTTAGTTCTTCAGTTAAAACACTGCCTGGGATATTGGCACGCAGTAAATACTTGTTGAATGAGTAAATGACTGTAGGGCACCCAAATGATCAGTCTCAGATCCAAATGCCACCTAGTGCCCTGATGAGCAGAGCTGTTGAAAGTGTCTCGCTCTGTTCTCAAACCTTAGAGTTTGAGAGTGTAAGGGCCTGGAGTCCAAGCAGCTGCGTGGAGTCGCCGTAGGAAGATGGGGCTGTGACTTAGCCAGACTAGAACCCAGGTGTCTGGAATGTTCTATGAGCTCACACAAGCTGGTGTTTGTCTTCCATTGTGATTGCAACAAAGAAAAGAGAGAAATTAAGATAAAACATTCACTCCCTAATCTCTGCTCTGTAGTCTCCTTTAGAAAAGCTCAGCTAAAGATCTAGTTTATTCAGAACTGAAGATAACAAGAGAGTATGAGAATTTTTGTTTTATTTTTTTGGAATCTCAAGGAAGGGGAAGAGCGATTTCCCCCTCTGGCCTGAGCCCACAGGCCTTGCTCTTGGAGGAAGTGCACGGAAGCAGCAGGTGTGGTTTTGTCAGGGGCTGTGGTGAGGGTGGTGTGCGTGTCTGTTTCCTTGGGTGGACTTTGCTGACTTAGGACTTCTAAGAAAACCTTCCTATGTGTGCCATAAAGAGGCAGGGTGTTGGCTGGAGGGCTACTTCTTCTCCAGGAGTGAAACTTAGCTTCTAGGTCAGAGCCTGCAGAGTGGAATCAAGTAATCCCTGTCCCACCTGGCCCTCCCCCGCTGGTGCCGTTTTCTAGTGAAGGACTAGGCCATGTTGAGGATTTTACCATCAGTGTGTGCGCTCCCCAGGCAGCTGTGTGTGTGCACGCTTCGTTCCTTATCCGTGTTGGTGCTGGTGGGAGGCAGTCTGGGGCTGGGGGCGTGGATGGAGGTGCAGGTGCCCCGAGGACCAGGACAGTGCGGGTTCCCATGGCCGCTCCTTCCGAGGAGCCTGCGTTTCCTGGATGGGGAGTGCAGTGTTGTAGACCTGTGAGTGTGGTCTTCGGGCTTGTTTCGGGGTACTTGTGTCTGTTGTAGGTGAGTTGGTTTGTGTGTGAAACAATTCCAGGCTCTGGCTTTTAAAAATTTTACCTGAAGTAGTTTTATTGTCATTTCCTGTAATTCTTGTGGTCATTAAATTTGCAGAGGCTGTTTGTAGGGTATTCATGTGTGTGTTAGTGGCATTTCAGATTTGTTTAGCTGAATTCAAGAGTTGCATTCTAAAAGTTGCATATTTTAGAGGGAGATCGGTAGAACGCCACGTCTTGACGTTTTCTTTCTTTCTTTCTTTTTTTTTTTGACAGGCAGAGTGGACAGTGAGAGAGAGAGACAGAGAGAAAGGTCTTCCTTTGCCGTTGGTTCACCCTCCAATGGCTGCCGCGGCCGGCGCACCGCGCTGATCCGGTGGCAGGAGCCAGGTGCTTTTCCTGGTCTCCCATGGGGTGCAGGGCCCAAGCACCTGGGCCATCCTCCACTGCACTCCCTGGCCTCAGCAGAGGGCTGGCCTGGAAGAGGGGCAACCGGGACAGAATCCGGCGCCCCGACCGGGACTAGAACCCGGTGTACCGGCGCCGCTAGGCGGAGGATTAGCCTAGTGAGCCGCGGCGCCGGCCGACGTTTTCTTAACTAGATGAAATTCTGCTGATGCAGTAAGTGTGCCAGCTTGAATGAGATGGTCGTGGTTCAGTTAACCACTTGTTGACCAAGAGGCATTATTGCGTGTGTTAGAGGTGAAGCACCTGAGCTGGGTCCCTTCTCTGACCCGGCAGGGACCACGTGAGTCACCCCCGTGCCTCTCTGCTCTGAGCATAGCTGACCACTTCTGCTTCTCCCTAGGTTTTGGAAACCCCGTCTCCGGGTCGCTGGGATTGACTTGCTGCTCAGTTGAATCACCTGCTCAATGGAGACGAGAACTAGGGCTTTGTGCTGACTCATACTTGAATCAAAACCCTGGGGAGTCTGCATGCCTTGTCTGTGGACAGGACCAGTGCCAGTCTCCATCACGAGCCTCCGGAAACTTCCACGGTCTCCCTGCGCTGTCGTCCTGGTCGCTCGCTCTGGCGTTGCAACCCGGGGCTGCTGGAGGTGGCAGTGACGAGTCTTGTTACAAGTGGCCTTATTCCAACTCCAGAAGTCCCCCCAGAGGAAGCTCGCGACTCTTACCTTGTGCCCAGCCCTGAGGCAACAGGAAACATGCCCACCCAGTCCCTCCTCGTGTACATGGATGGGCCGGAGGTCATTGGCAGCCCCCTGGGCACCCAGGTGGAGATGGACGACGCCGTGGCGCTCCGAGGGGCCGCCGCCGTGCCCTTCAGAGCCCCGACGGAGAGGAGCGTCATCCAGATGGAAGGCTGCATGCCCTTGGACTGCATGTTCTGCTGCCAGTCCTTCGGCCACGCCGACGACCTCAACAAGCACGTCCTGACGCAGCATCGGCCCACCCTCTGCGAGCCCGCAGTGCTGCGGGTGGAAGCAGAGTACCTGAGCCCGCTGGACAAGAGTCAGGTGCGCGCCGAGCCCCCGAAGGACAAGAGCTGCAAGGAGAACGAGGAGTTCAGCTGCGAGGTGTGCGGGCAGGCGTTTCGGGTGGCCTTCGACGTCGAGGCCCACATGAAGAAACACAAGGACTCCTTCACTTACGGGTGCAGCTTGTGTGGGAGACGATTCAAGGAGCCGTGGTTCCTGAAGAACCACATGCGGACACACAACGGCAAGTCGGGGGCCAGGAACAAGGCGCAGCAGGGCCTGGAGAGCCCGGTGACCATCAACGAGGTGGTCCAGGCGCACGCGGCCGGGAGCATCTCGTCGCCTTACAAGATCTGCATGGTCTGTGGATTCCTGTTTCCAAACAAAGAGAGTCTAATAGAGCATAGCAAAGTGCACACCAAAGACACTACGTCCTGCCCCAGCAGTGCACAGGCAGCCTCCCAGCCCGAGGGCGCGCCATCTCCCAGGGAAGAGTTCTTGCAGTGTTTGGACTTGAGACCCAAAGCGCACCCGGAGCGCGTGCAGAAGCAGGTGCAGTGCATCCCTCAGCTCGACCCCTTCACCACCTACCAGGCCTGGCAGTTGGCCACCAAGGGCAAGGTCGCCGTGGCCCAGGAAGAAGTGAAGGAGTCGGGGCAGGAAGGAAGCACCGACAACGACGACTCGTGCTCAGAGAAAGAAGAGCTGGGAGAAATCTGGAGCGGCGGCAAGTCCGAAGGCTCTGGGAAGTCCAGAGCGAAAGGCGGCTGCGCGGGGCTCTCGCAGGAGAAGGAGAAGCCCAGGCACTCGAGCGGCGACGGGGCCCCTGGGGACGTGGACGCCAAGCTGTCGGCCAGCAAAGAGAAGCCCACGCACTGCTCCGAGTGCGGCAAGGCCTTCCGCACCTACCACCAGCTGGTCCTGCACTCGCGGGTGCACAGGAAGGAGAGGAGGGCCGAGGCGGGCTCGCCGACCTCGGCCCTGGACGGGAGGCAGCCGGGCACGTGCTCGCCCGAGCTCGCCAGCAGCCTGGACGAGGGCGGAGCCGTAGACCGAGGCGAAGGCGGCTCCGAGGATGGCTCTGAGGATGGCCTTCCCGAGGGTCTCCATCTGGGTGAGCTGATCCCCGGGGTCCCGGGCACACAGGGGCTGCAGGGTGGACCCTGGCTGTGGAGGTGTCTGTCTCCCTGTTGGTGACAGTTCTGTGGTCTGTTTGCTCAGGGGACACAGGTGTTTCACAGTTGGGTGATGGTGCCCTCTGTTGACGTTTGGTGATGTGTAGTGACATTCTTGGTGGTCAGAGCTCTGTGTGTGGTATTGTGCGTGCCCATACATGCTGGCACCCGCAGGGCAGAGGCCAGGGCATGGTGCGCAGGGCTTCTGGCACCCCACCCGGTGTTTTGTGATGGCCGAGAGACCCCATCCCTGCCCTGAGCTCCTGTGGCTCCCTCTGTGTCTGTTGGGGCTGGCTTCCCACGTGTGGATCCCAGGGGGGTTCCGAGGCCACAGGAGTTACTGGGCATGAGCGAGAACAGGAAGCGTTAGGCAGGGGCAGCCCGTCCTTTCTGTCCTGGAGGCTGGTGCCCTCTGACCAGGAGCTCTGACGATTTGCCTGTTAGACACAGGAAATGGGAACGCACCAGGCTGTTTGGAAGAAATTCCGTTTGCTTGGTGAAGTCTGACGTGGCCGATCCCTGGGGCCGGCTGAGCTTCCAGCCACAGGACATGGTGTGAAGAAAGGATTCTGCTGCTTAAGAGCAGTTACAAAAAGCCCTCACCTGTGGGCACAGTCAGCAGGTGCATGATGAGAGCATGGGGTGGTCTCCGGGACATGGTCGCTCACACAAGGGGCTGTCAGTTGGGACGGATGCCCTGTCCTCTCTCAGCCTCACTCACTGAAGTCCTCCAGGGACTGTGTGTGTGTGTGGGCCCTGGTGAACCTGACCACAGCACCTTGAACTCTGCACCTGCATGGAAGCTGGTGCCCAGGTCTTCTTTCTGATCATGGTTTGACATGTTTGATGTGAGGGCAGTAGTTTTTCTTTCATATTTATAATTTTTTTTAAAGATTTATTTATTTATTTGAAAGTCAGTTACATAGAGAGGAGAGGCAGAGAGAGAGAGAAAGGTCTTCCATCCAATGGTTCACTCCCCAATTGGCCGCAACAGCTGGAGCTGTGCCAATCCGAAGCCAGGAGCTTCTTCCGGGTCTCCCACATGGGTGCAGGGGCCCAAGGACTTGGGCCATCCTCCACTGCTTTCTCAGGCCATAGCAGAGAGCTGGATTGGCAGAGGAGCAGCCAGGACTCAACCGGCGTCCATATGGGATGCCGGCGCTTCAGGCCAGGGTGTTAACCCACTGCACTACAGTGCCGGCCCCTATAATGTTTTGTGTTCCTTGGGGTACAGGAAACCTAGCTCTGAGCACACTGCAAATCCTCAGTTTTCAGGAATTTAGGAAAACTTAACGGTGGCTCGATGACATAAAGCAGGCTTTAACTTAACCACTGAGCTTGTTGTCCGAGTGATGCCCTCTGTCCAGGGGCATGTGAGGCAGGAAGTGGCTGGTCATTTGCAGGTGGGGTGGAACAGCTGGGCGTGGTAGGGTGCCCTGCTCTCCGTCCCGGCGCTGTGCTGTGGTGCTCTGGCTCACCACGTGTTGCTCAGCCCATCTTTGCTCCAGTTTCCTTGTTTGCAAGATGGCTTCCTTGACCCTCCTTCCACCTGCCAGGGAGCGTTTCAGCAGGCTGGAGGTGAAAAGCTCCCAGCCCATTACAGTACAGAGCCGCCTGGACCAGGCAGCTGTGCGGGTTCCATGTCCTTGCTGTCCCAAAGTTAGGCGATGCCTTTATCTTGCATGATGCGGCATGGTGAAATCCGGACGCATAGTTGGAAGTGGGAAGCTGTGACAAGGTGCAAAGGCAAAGCCTTCTGGCTGGGCGTGAGCGTGAGGAAGCAAGCTTGGGCATTCGCTACTCAGGAAATTGGTTTTCCAGAGTTTGTCTAGACTTATCTTCTGTACGATCAGCCTGGCTTTCTTCAGACTTTCAGGAAGATCAAAAGCAGATGACACCTTAAAGGTGTCAGCTCTTAGGTCTTTCCTGTCTTAGATGTGGGTGCTTTTTCCCTGCATAGGAATTGTGGTGCAGTGCAGACGGTGCAGTCCTGCCCTAATGTAAAACCTGAAGGCTCACCAAGGCCTGCTTCTAAGCTGCTTTTTATTTTTTTTTAATATTTATTATTTATTTGAAAGGCATAATTACAGAGAGGCAGAGAGTGAGAACTTCCATCCACTCTTTCACTCCCCAAAATGGCCGGAATGGCCAGAGCTGCCCCAGTCAGGAGCCAGGAGCCAGGAGCTTCTTCTGGGTTTCCCACATGGATGCAGGGCCCCAAGGACCTGGGCCATCTTCTGCTACTTTCCCAGGCCATAGCAGAGAGCTGGATTGGAAGTGGAGCAGCCAGGACTTGAATCAGCTCCTAAGCTGCTTTTTAAAATGAGTGATCTGTGAGCAGTCTGAGATGTGCAATGTGGAGGGAGGGTCAGGGAACAGGCCAATTAATCGGACATAACAAGTTTTGCAAGACAAAACGACCAGTTCAATTAATTATGCTGAATCCTTTTTTTTTGAAAGAGAGGGAGAGAGAGATGATTGTCCATCTACTCCCCACAGCTAGGGCTGGGCCGAGCCGAGCTGAAGCCAGGAACCAGGAGCTTCATCAGGGTTTCCTGTGTGGGTGACCAGCCCAGGCACTTGCCGTCTTCCGCTGTTTTCCAGGGTACATGAGCAGGGAGCTGGATCTGAGGTGCAGCAGCTGGCACGTGAACGCGCCCACACGGGGTGCTGGGGTCGCAGGTGGCTGCTTTGCCTGCTGTGCCACGAGGCTGCCCTCCGTTGTGCTGAGCCTTGCTGACCTGAGGGAGGGTGCTGAAGTCAGAGGGCCCCTCCACAGTGCCGTGGAAGAGGTGATGTCTTCCGGAAATATCTTCATGTCCTTTGAGGGGTGTTTCAGCTGAGGCCCTGGGACACGTCCAGTTGTGTTGGCCGGGCCAGCGTCCCCAGTGGGCTCTCGCACCCTGCATTGATCATCCTGCACTCAGAGGTCGGCGTCTGGGGGACAGGTTGTGACTTGTCAGACTTTGTACTTCCCAAAACCTGGCTAAAATTTGACAAACTTTCCTAGGTGTTTGCCCAATGCCTTGCTTGCGCTCCTGTCGCAGATTAGGTTGTGCTTGCTGCCCTCTAGTGGTGGCATGTTTAATCTCAAGTTGAAAAGCTGAGTTTCCCGCCGGAGGTGGGGTTGGTTTGCGGTTTGTGTCGGTGCAGTTTTCTGTCTTTCTGAAGAAGCTGGCTGTGCGTGGCGTCGGAGTGCCTGTGTGCGGGCCCTGCGGGTCCACTGTGCCGAGGCCTCTCCTGGGATGAGGGCAGACGGTGTGCTTGCTGTCCGCGGGGCGGCAGAGGGTTCTCAGGCTTTCTGGAGCCGATCCCAGGCGGGAGGTGTAAGCATGCCTTAATCCACGTGCTTCGGCCGTCTCCTTACGTAAATGTTTTTTTTTCTGCTTTAAGATAAAAATGATGACGGAGGAAAAATAAAGCATCTCACGTCCTCGAGAGAGTGTAGTTATTGTGGAAAGTTTTTCCGTTCAAATTATTACCTCAATATTCATCTCAGAACGCATACAGGTAAAGACTTTGATTTTTTTTTTTAACGCATGTACTGGTTCAGAGTCGCGGTGTAGCTGTGCGCCGCGCCTTTGCTCCAGCCCGACCAGCGCTGGTCCAGCCCCTCTGCCAGCCCGCTGCTCGCTCACTTTATCCCGACGCTCACCATCAGTAAACCACTCCTTCTCACTTGAGTATTTTTAATAATTTATCGACGTAAGAGAGAGCGCGCTCATCTGCTGGTCGGCTTCCCAGGTGCCTGCAGTGGCTGTGGGATCTCGGCCCAGGGCTCCCACGTGGTGGCAGGGACCCAGGCACCGGAGCCGTCACCGCCACCGCCGCCTCCCGGGTCTGCCTCTGTGGGAAGCTGGGTCAGGGCCTGAACAAACCCGGAACTCGGGGGGGTGTGGGGAACCGGACAGGTCTGCCCCAGACCTCTGTCACGCTGTGTGGCCACGTATTTTTAATATTTTGATAATTTGTAGTTTCATGAGAATATATGGCCTAATAATCTGTTCTTTAAGTAGTAGAAGCAGCTAGAATATTAACAGTTTAGGAGGATGTGTGGATTCGAATTTCATCAGACTGTTAGCTGACCAGTTAATTAACCATTTTTAAAAACTTTTATTTTTAAAAAATTATTTTCATATTTCAAAGGCGGACAGGCAGGAAGGGACAATTTTAAACACTGGTTCGCTCCCCAAATGCCCGCAACAGCCAGGGCTCTGCCATGGTGAATCCAGGAGCCCAGCACTCAATCCAGGTCTCCATGTTGGTGGCAGGGACCGAATTCCTGGAGCCATTATCCCCCACCTTCCAGGCAGCCGGCACGGGAGCAGAGGAGCGGCACCGCCAGGGAGGCGCTCCGAGAAGCAGCGTGGGTGTTGCACTCGGTCGTTTAACCATTGCACCAAGTGGCCAGCCCTTGAAGCCTTTCTGTGTGCCAGTTTTCTGAGCTCTGAGAGTGACATAATGATACCCCCTTTTCTGTGCTGTGTTTGTTTGAAGACTCACTTACTTGAAAGGCAGAGGAAGAGACCGCACGTGCACGCTTCCACCTGCTGCTTCATTCCCAGATGGCCCCGGCAGCCGGGCTGGGCCAGGCTTGAAGCCCGCAGGCAGGAGCCCCATCACGTCTCCCACAGTGGGACGTCCTCCCCTGCTTTCCCAGGCGCATAGGCAGGGAGCTGGATGGGGAGCGGAGTGCCATGACTTGAACTGGAGCCCATAGGGGTGCTGGCTTAACCTGCTGTGCCACAGCGCCGGCCCCTAGACTGCTCCGTCCCCCAGGGCTCTTATGGAGATGAAGGAAGTTAAAAGTGTGACTGTTGCACAGCCGTATTTCAGATATCCAGTATTTATGTAGGTGAGAAGTGAGCAGCTCGGGAGAAGCCCACACAGAGGCGGGGGGAGCGTGCTCGCTGTGGTGTCTGGAACGGGTCTTTCTGGTGCCCGGAGGTCTGTGCTGGAACTTTACGTTCACTTCTGTAATGTAGCGACATTTCTTGTTGTAGGTGAAAAACCGTACAAATGTGAATTCTGTGACTATGCTGCAGCCCAGAAGACGTCTCTGCGGTACCACTTGGAGAGGCACCACAAGGACAAGCAGGCGGACGGTGCCGCCGAGGGCAAGAGCGACGGCAAGAACCAGGAGGCGGAAGATGCGCTCGTGGCCGCTGACGGTGCACAAACCAAAAATTTGAAAAGATTTTTTGATGGTGCCAAAGATGTTAAAGGCAGTCCACCTGCAAAGCAGCTTAAGGAGATGCCTTCTGTCTTTCCGAATGTTCTGGGCAGTCCTGTCCAGACACCAGCACACAAAGATACTCAGGATTTCAGTAAGCACGCAGCCAGTGGCAGTGCTGAGACAGTGGACAGAGCGCCCACCCCTGTGTTCGTGGATCTGCTGAAAAAGAGGTCGGCAGGGGAAGCTCAGGCAGACGACCCTGTCGGCAGAGCGGAAGTGGGGGTGCCTCCCGCAGACAGCAGCGCCCCGCGGTGCGCCGATGGCGGCCACCCAGAGACGAAAATGGATACCACAGGGGCTGGCAGGTGCCAGACTGGCCTGGAGTGTCAGGAGAAGCCTCTGAACCTGTCCCTCAGTGCTCTGCACAGCTGCCCGGCCATTGCTTTGAGTAAAAATCTAATCCCAAGTATCACCTGCCCGTTTTGTACCTTCAGGACATTTTACCCCGAGGTTTTAATGATGCACCAGAGACTGGAGCACAAGTACAATCCCGATATTCACAAAAACTGTAGGAACAAGGCTTTGCTTAGAAGTAGACGGACTGGGTGCCCGCCAGCCCTGCTGGGGAAAGACGTGCCTCCCTTGTCTGGTTTCCACAAGCCCAGGCCCAGGTCAGCTTTCCCAGCGCAGCCCAAGCCCCTGCCTCCAGAGAAAACGAAGCAGAGCCCCTCGGGGCCGGCCAAAGCCCCTCCAACGTCAGGGACAGACTCCAGCACTTTAGCCCCAAGTAACCTGAAGTCGCACAGGCCGCCGCAGAGCGCTGCCGCCCCCCGGCCGCAGCAGCCCGAGGGCTTTTCCAAAACCAGTGTTGGTCCTGCACTGGAGAAAACGAGACGACCCGAGGCGAAGCTGAAGCCTCTGCCCGTGGCCCCAGCTCAGCCCGCCCACGGCAGCGGTAGCAGCAGCGGCGGCAATGGCTCCAGCGGCTCCGGCGGCTCCAGCGGCTCCAGCGAGTGTGCGCCCAAGAGCGATGGCCCCTGGGCCCCTCAGGGAAGAGACTACTTTTGTAACCGGAATGCAAGCAGCACCACAACCGCGGAATTCAGCGAGCCGCTCCCGAAAAGGCTGAAGTCTGGCGTGGTCACACTTGACGTTGACCTGCCCGGGCCCAATTACAGGAGGGGCTACGAGCTGCCCAAGTACCACGTGGTCCGGGGCATCACGTCCCTGCTGCCCCAGGAGTACATGTGCCCGCCGTTGCCGGTGTTGCCCCCCAAGCCCAGATTCCTGGGCTCTGCTGAGGGGGAGTCTCCAAGTGTGCTGGCTGTGCAGAAGCCCTACAGCGGCGCTGGCCCGCTCTACTCGTGCGCACCTGCCAGCGGCCCGGCCTCCAGCGCGGCTCTAGAAGGTATTGCATCGGGCGCAGTGTTGGAGTTGCACTGGCCGCCCAAGACCCACACCCTGGGGGGACACTTAGCACAGTGGTTGGTGGGCCCGCAGAGCTTAGCTGGTCAGGGCTTGGCTCAGTCTTACCCGCAGCTGAGCCTGTGATCTCTCTCTCTGCTGTGGGAGCGATCATGGGGAAAGTGGTTGAGTGCCTGTGGTGTGATCCCTTCTTTCCCTTCTGGCTTTGTTGTTGGAATCCCAGGGCCCACGGAGTGCCCCCCGCTCCCCTCATCCTAGCTTCTCTGTCGTCTGCACATGCGCGGTGTGCAGCACGCGTCCCTGGGTTCTTCCAGTGTCCTGTCACCCCCTCCCCTCCACGCCATCAGTGGCTGAAACCGTGTGTCGTATGACTGAGTCACATGCAGCCCTGGGCTGGGCAGTGTTTGAGGGGTGCTCCGTGGATGCCGTGTGGGCGTCCCTGGCCCCTCTGTGGCTTTGAGGAGCAGTGAGCCCGGGGGCTGCGGAACGGTCTTAGTGCTCCGACCTGGGGTTGAGCTGCTCTTGGCCTCTGAAGCAGCCCGTGGATTCCATCTCTGGGAGAGGGCGCACGTGGGCCGCCAGTCTTGGGACTGCTGTGGGGTCCTGTGGATTCCATCTCTGGGAGAGGGCGCACGTGGGCCGCCAGTCCTGGGGCTGCTGTGGGGTCCCGTGGATTCCATCTCTGGGAGAGGGTGCACGTGGGCCGCCAGTCCTGGGGCTGCTGTGGGGTCCCGTGGATTCCATCTCTGGGAAGAGGGTGTGTGTGGGCTGCCAGTCCTGGGGCTGCTGTGGGAGGGTTTCCTGGCAGTGGCGTCGTGTGGCAGCTCACCTGGGAGTGCCCGGGGACTCCAGTAGCCGCAGTGCCTGCTCCAAGAGGCAAATCCGCCTCAGCCCTTGGCTTCTGTGCTGTTTTCTTGTCGTGACGTCGGTCGGCCTGATGCCCTTGGTCTGCCAGGAATAGCTCGTGGTGGAAGAACGGCTTCCATGTACTGCAGATCCAGGGCCTGTGAGAAAGGAGTAGGGCCTGCTGTCTTGATCACAGTGCGCCTCCCACCCTGCCAGGGTGCGTAGAGCAGACAGGAGTCGGAGCGCGGGCCGGGAGCGGAGGCTGCGCTGCAGTGGAATCTTCTGTCGTGGTGTCGCTCCTCTTCACAGTTCGGGTTTATGCTGTGTGTGTGTTTAAAGTATTCCAGGCGGGGTGGGTGTTGTGGCACAGGTGCTGCATGGGGTGCCTGCCTCCTGTGTCCGGGTGCCCGGTTTCAAGTTCTGGCTCCGCTCCCAATCCCAGCTTCCTGCGAGACCGCAGGTGATGACAGCAGGGAGGCTCATGCTGGGTCCCTGCCTCTCCTTGGGGAAGCCTGGATGGAGCTCCTGGCTCCTGGCTCTGGCCTGGGAAGTGAACCAGCACATGGAGCGCTCTGTCTGTCTCTGTCTCTCTGCCCTTCAAATGAATGAAAATATTTAAAAAAAAATTTATGCTGCCATGTTCTTCTAGCTTCTTAAATCTTTATTAGTGAGACCTGGGAACTTAAGGAAACTGTGCTAATAGATGTTCTCATACAAACAGTTCTATAAGTGTGCAGACGTCCGTGTGACGTGTGTGTTGTGGTTGCACCCTGCGGTAGGAAGTTTGAAAATCATCCTCTGAGTCTGTGCGCGCGTCGTCCCTGTGGCCTCACGGTAACTCTAAGCGATCTCTCTCTCTCTCTCCAATCAGGGAAGAGGCCTGTGTCGTATCAGCACCTGTCCAGCAGTATGCTGCAGAAGAGGAACTATGAGAATTTTATTGGGAACGCACATTACCGACCAAATGACAAAAAAACTTGATTTCCTATTTTTTGGGGGGAAAGGTAAGCATATGTTTCAATTAAATATGTACTGTACAGGTTTTCCTCATTTGAAAATAAACATCTAGCTTGTCCACTGTAACACAAAATAAAAGTGCCTGTAACTACAATATTTTCCGGGCATCTTAGCATTTATGTTGGAGCGCTCAGGGTCTTTGGCTGTCAGTGATGATGCGAACAGTAAACATCCCGGCAGTCCCAGCGACTGAACCGACTCAGCATTTACTGGGGGCCCTCCCACTGCCTTCCCTCCCCACTTGTGCACGTGTTCCCTGTGGTGGCTTTGAGGTTGCTGTGGTGGCATGGGCCGTGCCTGCGTGGGGCAGGAGCCTGGGCCCAGAGCAAGCAAGAGGCTCACTTGGACCCGCTGGTTCCTGTCCTGTCGTATGATCAGAACGGTCCCCGAGAGCAGGCTGTGTCTGCCGAGTTGACTCAGAGTTGGAGCAGCGAGTCACAGAACCTGCTCATTTTCCCCTCACGGCCGGCCTCGCGGACAGCTCTGTCCCTAAAACTCTTGCCACAGAGACCCTGAGCACCTGCTGGCCGGCTCGTGGTCAGGGCAGGGTTTCTGCTGTGGGACCCGCGGGGCCCCGAGTGCTGTTCCCAGGGGCTGGGGCTCTGACAGTCACTCCCGGGTCCCAGAAGCAGAGTGGGTGGGTGGCGTTGGCACGCGCTGCCCCAAGGAACTGCTGGTGGATTCTCGCAGCAGACAGCGGCAGCAGATGACAGATGACGGCCGTGTGCCAGCCCCAACCTCTGTCTCTTGTCTGTCTGTCTGTCTGTCTCTCTGTCTCTCAGCTCTGGGCTTCTCTCCCTCCATCTCTGCCTGACCACCTCTCTCTGCTCCAGAGCTGCTCCCCACCTGCATTCTGTCACCTGCTGTGAGCTTTGTCGCAGCCCAGCACTTTACATGAGTGTTCTCGTCCACCACTGGCCGAGCCCGAGGGTGGACACCTTGTGGACACCTGGCCTGTTTGGGTGACAGAAGTTACTTGTGGTCACGTTTGCCTCGTTGACTGGCCCGACCGATTCCTTCCTTCCTGTGTAAGCGTTCAGTTTCCGGTGGTAGCCGTGCCTTCTGACCCGCCGGGTAGTGGCGTTTGTACTTCAGCCCAGTCCTGACTTGGTCAAGGCTGGGCTTACACGCACCCTTGGCCTTGCTGAGAGCCCTGGACTTCTCTGTGCTTCTAGAGCCTCTTCCTAAGCTTCGCTGCCCGCTGCCTTTTCGTCTCACTCATCGTCCACACCTTTCTCCTCGCAGGTCTCGATGGGTGGAGGCGCGTGCGCCGTGAGGTCGGATTTGAGTCCATCCTTTGGGAAAGCGAATGGTGAAAGCTACTGAAATAAGCTGTGACCGCACTGTACATACAACACGCAAGGAACATAAAAGGAACACTACAGTTTTGTAAAGTTGTTCTGTTAACTTTTGTACCAAATAGCAATAAAAACTAGTTGGAGCAGTTGGGACCAGAGATCTCTATTTTGTCCCTGAATAATATTTTTTTTAACAATTGACCAAATAAGTGGAGTTTTTGTATACTTGAGCGCTGCTGAAAAGAAATCATTTGGGGTGGGGGTGGGGCGGGGGGGAGAGTCTATGACGCTTGCACCTCAGGTAAACTGTAAATATCTCCGTTGTTAGCCTGCTCGTTTCAGTGCTGTGTGTATCCCCTTCTCGTGTAGCTCGTCGCTTCGAGCAGTTTCTGCCATTTGTGCTTTCATTTAAATGTATTTTTTAAACAATTCCCAATGATCTGTATTATGTGGAATCGTCCACAGTCCCTTGTTGTCTTAACAAAATTGTCAACGAAAGCCTCGTCCCTCGCGGCTGCTGCGTGCGCCCAGGCCGTCCTGGTCCCGGCCTCCCCGTGGCCCTTGGCGGCGTGGGGGCTGTGGGCCGGGGCCGTGGCACCTCTGCAGAGCAGCCTCGCGCCAGGGGCCACACCCAACTGCGCTTGCAGTTTCTTAAGTTTGTTTTCTATCAAATTGATCATTTCTGTTGGAAAATTCACTTTGGTGGGGGGAGGGGTGTTTGGCTAAGTAAACATAGGCGAGTGTAAGTGCTAAAATATACAATGTGAATTACAGACGTTGAGAAGGAAGCAGTTTTAAAGGGAATGGAAGATTTTTTTGTTTGGGCAAACTTTAGGTTTGTATTTGGAAATCTTGGCGTGTCTGGCCACACTGATTCTGAGGGCGGAGCGGAGGGGCCCAGCTCCGAGACCCCAGCTGGGCCCACTGTCACCTCTGGTCAGCCCAGCTGTGGCTGTTGGAAACTCTGTCCGTGGCTGAGTGTGCTCAGCCCGTGGTTTGAGTAAGCCACAAGATATTTTATTAAGAAACTGTTCTGAAAAGTAAATTTGCACTGTTGATTTCCCCTGCCCTGCGCTTCTCCATGGAGCATGGGGAGAGGCCTCAAAGAATCCGAATTCTGTTTCATTATGCAACGTGGGGCGTCCTGGATGGAAGTCTCCGCTCCCGTGTTACTGGGAGGTGTGTGAGCTGAGTCTGCTGGCATTGCAGTGAAGTGCTTTGTATCAGGAACCTGTACACTATGCCTGTTTTCCTGTTCACAAGCTGAGCCATATGTACATAACCTAGATTTTGTGTTCATAGTTTTGCACTTTTATAGCCTATTTTTGAGGATTAACACATTTTGCAAGATGATCGACTCACTCTTTGCCTAATCTGACGAGTGTTCCAGAGAGCTTGCTGTGACTATAAATGTAAATCTTAAAAGAGGGGTATAAATAGAGGGCTGAAATTTAAACCTGTATTTTAAAAAAAATCACCAAATCTATTTGAAAACAAGTCCATTTGTGTTACGCTGAAATTTTGGGGGCTTTTACATGTTTCCTTTGTAGCCACATTCTGAATACATAAAAATATCAGTTTTTTAAATTTTCCACAGCCCTTTGTACTGTCCATCAGTATTAACTATCGGGATACTACTGGTTTTGTATGTTTTTATTTCGTTGAGACAGCAGTCCATATAATAGAGGTACAATTCGTTGGATTTTTGTTTATGTATTTATTTCATTCCAGTTTGATTTATTTTAATTGTTGATACTTAAGTTGTCAAACAGTAGACATTTACTTGTTTTATTTATGATATATTTCAGCTTAAAGTTATGTTATTATATGTGGATGTAAATATAGATTTGGTGTTTTGCAGTCTTGAGTTTTGGTCTTTCTTGTGGTCCCGGTTGCTTGATTTGTTTCACTGTTTATAAAGACAGCTTTGGGGCTGGGTTCACTGTTTATAAAGACAGCTTTGGGGCCGGGTTCACTGTTTATAAAGACAGCTTTGGGGCCGGGGGCTGTGCGTAGCGAGTGGAGGCATCGGCATAGTGGCAGCGACATCCCACATGGGCGCAGGTCGAGTCCCGGCTACTCCACTTCCAGTCCAGCTCCCTGCTGATGCTCATGGGAAGGCAACGGAGGATGGCCCAAGTGCTGGGTCCCTGCACCCACATGGGAGACCTGGAAGAAGCTCCTGGCTGCGGCCTGGCCCAGCCCCGGCTGTTGGCAGCCAGTTCAGAGTGAACCAGTGGTTGGGAGATCTCTCTGCCTCTCTCTCTAACCCTGCCTTTCAAATAAATACATCTTAAAAAACAACCACTTGGGCAGGGAATCTGGTGTATTGGTCAGATGCCCCTTGGGATACCCACAACCATACTGGAATGCCTGGTTCAAGTCTAGACACTGGTTCTAGCCTCCTGCTCACACACACACGTGCTGGGAAGCAGGTGATGGCCAATGGACTTGGGTTCCTGGCACCCACGTGGGAGACCCAGATGGAGTTCCTGGCCCTGCTCTGGCTGTTGCAGCCCTTTGGGGAGTGGCCCAGGGGACAGAAGACCTCTGTCCCTCTCAGTCCATGTCAGAGTACCTGGGTTCCTGTCCTCGTGCTGCCCTCCACGCCATCTTCCTGCTGATGCACACCTTGGGAGGCAGCAGGTTAAGGAGTTGAGTCCCTGTCACCATAAGGGGGACCAGGATTGAGCTGCACGTTTCTGGCTTTGGCCTGCTTATTTGGGGACTGAGCCAGCGGACAAGAGGTCTCTGCCTTTCAAATAAATAAAATACATGAAACAAAATCTCTCCAGTGAATTACACTGCTGTGTTCCAATTCCAGTTTTGAGAGGTCTGATCGTTTGATGACGTTAACAGTGACTCCCCACCTGTATCTGGCATGCAGGACCCTTCACAAGGTTGACAGAAAATGGACAGATTCCCTCTCCTGATGAGCTTTTTGAAGCCTCCCTCTTATTTAACGTCACAGTCTGGGGTTACTAAACGACACGCTCGGGTTTCTCTCAGTGGTGGCCCCTGGTGAGATGGGCAGAAAGGCAGCTTGTCAGGCTCCCCCAGACCTGCTGAGGGCCCGGGGGAGCGGCCCTGGTGCTGCCTCCCCAGCCTGCTGGAGCCGGGCATCTCTGGGGCCGGCCAGCAGCTCTGTGTGCGCCCGAGATGCGGGACCTTCCATCTGGAGCCACTGCCAAGTGCCTTGTTCCTCCTCTTCATGTCGTTTCATTCCCGGGTAAATGAATGTGCATGTGGCTCCGTAGTGAAGGCCAGGCATTGTCCACGAGGTCCAGCTTCTCACCCTCTCCCTGCCTTCTGTGTGCAGAGTGAGTTTGGTTTTGAGTCACAGGCATCTCCAAGGGCATTTCTGTTCCCCGCTGTTGGATGGGAAGGAGCAGGGTGGGGGGGGGCACCCACAGGGCTGCTGGCTTTGTAGGAAGGCACACGCTGTCCCCCTCACATCACAGGACTGGGAAGGACCCTAACTTAGAGATGGGAGCCTGGCGGGGGTGGGGGCCTCTGCTGGCTTTTACCCTCCCTGGGACTTTCTGCTGAGCTTTTCCTAAGCGCTGCCGCCGTGGGCTTCGTGCTGGGTGCCTGGGGCGTGCATCCCACCGGCGAGCGTTGCACGTTGCAGGTTGCAGTCGTGCTGGCCAGGAAGCCAGCGGGGACTGGGGTTGAGCGGGGCAGGCCCGGCTCTGTCAGTCACAGACCTCTACGAGACAGAAGTGGCAGTGGAGCAAAGAGCCTTGGCTGAAACCTTGTCCAGCGAGGCTGCCTTGACTCGAAGGCCTGGACAGAGAGCAGAGGCCTTGCCCTCAGCACTGTTAACCTTTAGGACCAGATAATTCTCGGGGTGGGGTGGGGTGAGGGGGGCTGTCCCATGCACTGCTGAGCGTTCAGCAGTACCAGATGCCAGGTGCCCCTCTCCCTCAACTGTGATGCCCCAAGTGTCCCCGGGACCGCAGAGGCCCCTGGGCTGGGTCTGTAGGCCTGGGTGAGAGCCCAGTGTGGACTCTGAGGGGTCAGGTGTCCTCTTGCTGGGGCAGCCTTGGGGAGGGTGACGTTCAGGTTGGAGGATGACTGGGTATGGTGGGGAGGTCGACCAGAGGGGCAGAGTGGATCTACGTGTCACAGGTTTGAGTCCCGGGTGCTCCACTTCTGATCCAGCTCCCTGCTGGACCTGGGAAGTCCACAGAAGATGAACCAAGTGCTTGTGCTTTGCCGTGTGGGAGACCTGGCCGGAGCTCCCTGCCCCTGGCTTTATCCTGGACCATCATAGGCTGTTGCGGCCATCTGGGGAGTGAGCCAGTGGATGGAGGATTCGCTCCCCTGCCCCCTCCATGTCCTCTCTCTCCCTCTATCATTCTTTGCCTTTAAAATGAATTTTTTAAACAACACAACTCCTAAGAAGTTAGGATCTATCCAGATATTTCTCTACACCCATTATGAGCAACACAAACGGGTTTGTCCTGTAGCTTTTTTGAAAATTATCCCTTTTTCTCCCAACTTTATATAAAAGCGTGCTGCTTTTATCTGCCAGAGGTGGCCTGCGATTTCCATGCGTTATCTCATGGTTCTCCCCATTTACAAAGACACTGAGGCCCAGAGAAGTAAGTTGCCTTGACTCCTCCAGGGATGAGCTCGGTCTCTGCTCTCGACACGGGGCAATGCCGGTAGCTGGCTGCCACGGTTTCATGGGTGAGATAGCATTGTAGCAGGTGTTTCTGTGAGTTTAGCTGAAGCACTACTGAGGATTTGATTGCATGGGTGAGGTGTGAGGTGCACAACGCGCCTCTGCCTGCTGTGTCAGAGGGTTCCTTCTTGAAGGGACAAGGGAACGCCTGAAATTGTTTTCCCCGTGGAGCTGACCAAGCTGCCATTTTACTGAGCTCTGTGCAGAGTCACCACCAGGTGGCGCTAGTGTCAAGAAATGTCCTGTTGGTGTTCCACTTTGGGACAAATTTTCCAAGATGAACATTTGTGTTATTTGAAATGCTGCAGGAAATATGACAGTTGATACAATTTTATTGGAATATCTAACATTGTTCATAAATCAAAAGTTCCACGAAGTAGCCTTTATGATCCTAACCTAGGGCCAGGACCTTGTACTTGAGTAAGGCAGCCCCACTGCTTGGAGTTTATGGGCACTTCTGGTAATGCCACAAACCCAGCTTAATAAAAAAAAAAAAAAAAAAAAAAAAGGAGGAGGAGGACTGGGGCTGCCAGGACCTTCTCCACTAGCCTGCAGCGGGGCTGTGGGGCAGGCAGGTGCAAGTTAAAATGAAATATCCCGGGAAGGAGGGGTCGAGCCCTGGAGGAAGCAGGAGTGGGGGCTTGTCTTGCGGGCAGGGAGTCTCTCCCTTGTTCTCTACCTCCCCCTGCTTTCCTGTCTCCCACCTCCATTCCTCCACCCCCTACCCCACTCCAAAATCACTCCATTGAGACCTGCTGGGAGAGGTTGGGGCTTAGTGTGGCTTGTGGGACCTGAAGATGATGAACTCGAATCAATGGGGAGCTCACCCCTACCCCAAACGGGATGACTGTGATCCAGAGACTTTTTAAAAAAATTTTTGGGGAGTTAATTTATTTTACTTGAAAGACTGAGAAGGATCTTCCATCTGATTCACTCCCCAAATACCCACAACAGCCAGGACTGGGCCAAGTTGAAGCCAGGAACTCCATCCGGGTCTCCCACGCGGGTGGCAGGGGTCCAAGTCATTGGGCCATCATCAGCTGCGTCTCAGGGGCGTTTGCAGGGAGCTGGGTCAGAAGCTCAGAGTGGCTGAGACTTAACTGGCACTCTGCTGGGGGATCCCAGGTGGCTGGCGGCTTAACCCCACCCCCCCCCCCCCCCCGCCGCCACGCCTGCCCCAAGCTTCTGTTAAGGTGCAAGTTCAACACCGCAGCCACGCCCTTGTGTGTGCTACACGATGAAGATGATGATTCTGGTTCCAGATTTTCTAAAGTAGAGAAATGATGGTGATACATGCGTAACAGTACTGCTCGGTGGGTTCTTTAAAACGGCCTGAAAGCCTGCTAAGAACAGAACGGAGAAGGAAACTGTGGGACTTGCTCACAGCCATGTGCTCCGCAGCCCTGGCACTAGCAGCCCACAAAGAAGCACAGTAACAGGGAGAGGCCTTGCTGGCACAAGGCTGAGTTCTGCGTGATTCGGTCGCACCAAAGGCACCAGCAGGCGCAACCCACCTGTGCGTTGGAGAGACGTCTTCCATCCCTCCATTCACTCGCCAAATGCCCGCAACACCTGGGGCTGGGCCAGGTCAAAGCCTGGAGCCCAGAACTCGATCCTAGTTGCCCATGTGGGTGCAGGGGCCCAACATCCCCCACTGCCTCCCCAGGCGCGTTGGCAGGGAGCTGGTTCAGAAGCAGGGCAATCAGAACTTAAACTGGCACTCCGATTCGGGATGAAAAGCCGTGGCTTAAACCACAGTGCTGGTCCCTACACTTTAAAAAGCATCTTTTTTTGCTCCTTTTCATTTATTTGAAAGGTAGAGAGACAGAGACAGAAATTTTCCATCTGTCGGTTTACTCCCCAAGTGGCTTCGATGGCCAGGGCCGGGCCAGGCCAAAGTCAGTTACTTGAACCATCACCTGCACGCTAGCAGGAAGCTGGATTTGCCAGCAGGGCTGGGACAAAACCCAGGCACTCTGATATGGGATGTGAGTGTCCCGAGCGACGTCTGACCTGCTGCAGCAAGCGCCCAGCCCTCTGCTACACCTTACAACCAGCGTGGTCAGTGTGTAAGCACCGCCCCTGAGGCCCAGACCACCCAGTATTGCAGCTGTGGGCACAGGTTGACCCGGGCAGGGCCAGGACTCAGACCCACGCGTGGTTGGCCACG